GCCAGCCAGAAGTTTAAACCCAATGAGTTTGTGGTTGGTGAACACTCTTCTGATATCTTGCTATGCTTAGCAGCGTCTGGTCATCCTTCCTTACGGTAAGGGACCATAAAGTACAGTATAGTAAAAAAATAATTTACAATACAAATTTTGATTCCTTCTAAACCTCGTCGCTTTTTATCGTCTTTTCCAGCCGTCTTGGAAAATATAAAAAGAACATGTAAGTGCATGTCCAAATAAACTCGCTTTAAGACACAAAATAGGCGGAATAAACTCATGTACATGTGATAGCGTAAAAGCGATTTTTACAAAATGTTTTTTTTAATTTTTAATATACATATTAGCAAAATAACAAATATATAAAAATATAAGCATTTAACAACTGACTTTTTTTATATTATATGTAATGTCATGGAAAATCGAGATGAAACAAAATGTTGAATGGTGTCTTACGTGCGATGGTCGTTTAAATGTTCTGGAAACCTCACTCTTCTTCCGGAACGCGTCGTTTTAAGTTTATTTCCAAATACATTCGGAGTATCATCGCGTGTGTTGGTTGTCGATTGAGGAATTATGAGTGGAGTCGTGTCGTTCGATTGTACCGAAGGAAAGTCGACGTGAATAGGATTTCCTGCCTGAGGCTATCGATGCTGATGCTATCGTTGCTTTCTTTCTTATAGACTATATAGTACTTGCGTTCGCTTTGAACAACTTTGAAGGGTCCTTCGCATGCTGATTCGAGAGGTCGTCGATGTGAGTCTCGTAGAACGAAGACGTATGTACTATATTGTAAGTCAGATTGAACGAAAACATCAGTTGATTGCGGTCGAGAGGAAATAGATTTAACTGAACGCATTGCGTTTGTAAGCCTGTTCGTGTAGGAGGTTAGATCCATTTTCATTGAGGGATCCACGAATCCTCCTGGAAGTCGAAGTGTCGTTCTATAAACGAGTTGAGCCGCAGTGTATCCAATGTCAGCTTTCACTGCATTGCGGATACCTAGTAAGACAAGTGGAAGAGCGTCGGTCCACTGTGAAACGTTTGCAGCTGATAGTGAAGCTTTTAGTTGTCGGTGAAAACGTTCTACCAACCCGTTTGCTTGTGGATGGTAGGCGGTCGTTCGGAATCGAGTAATTCCTAAAAGTGTGGTCAGACGACGGAAAAGATCGGATTCAAACTGACGTCCGCGGTCTGTAGTAATGGTTGAAGGGCAACCGAAGTTTGCTACCCATCGTTCGACGAAGGTGCTGGCCACTGTTTCAGCAGCGATGTCCTTGATAGGTACTGCTTCTGGCCATCGAGTGAAACGGTCTACGCAGGTTAAGAGGTAAGAGTATCCATTTGAATCTGGTAGAGGTCCTACCGAACCCAGATGAACATGGTCGAAACGAGCGTCGGGAGTTTTGAAAGAGCCTAAGGTACGTTTGTTGTGTCTAATCACCTTAGCTTTTCGGCAGCTTGCACAGGAGCGAGCTTGTTCCCTCGTTTCTTTATTCGTGCCAGGCTATCAAAACCGTTCTGCTATAAGCTTGATGGTTGCACGAACACCTGGATGAGGAAGTTTGTGCAACGCATTGAAGACGTTGCGTCCATAATTTTTCGGCACGATTGGGCGATCCCTACCTGTAGATGTGTCACAAAGTAAGGTTTCCTTGCCTGTTCCCATCTGTTTGATGTGTAGCTTCAGTGTTGTAAACGATAACTCGCGCTGAAGATCAGTGTCTTCTTTTTGAAGCTGGCCGAGTTTAAGGAGGTCGATTCCTTGGAAACTCTTCAAGGAAGTTATGCGAGTTAAGGCGTCTGCAACTACATTGTTTGCTCCAGAGATATGTTGAATGTCTGAAGTAAACTGCGAAATGTAGTCCAGTTGTCGAGACTCACGGGGAGAGTACTTGTCTGAAGGAGAGCTTAGAGAGTATGTGAGCGGTTTATGGTCAGGGAAAAGAGTGAATTCACGACATTCGATGCAGTGTTGAAAATGTCGTACAGCACAAAACATAGCTAGGAGTTCCCTGCCGAATGTGCTGTACTTCGATTCGGTGTCTAGCAACCGCCTAGAGAAAAATGCCAATGGTTGCTAGGAGTTGTTAACCCATTGTTGTAAGACTCCTCCGATTGCTGAGTCGGATGCGTCTGCTGCGATGCTAATGGGTGCTTGAGTGTCCTGATGTGCAAGCAATGTTACTTTCGCAATAAAATTCTTAATTGTGGAGAATGCGTTTCGTGCGGTGTCGTCCAAAACGATGGGTTTCGCATTTCCACGAAGTTGGTCGGTTAGCGGTTTCATGAGTAAAGTCAATTTAGGTATGAATCGTCTATAGAAATTTACCAGGCCGTTAAACGTTAGTACTTGATTGACGTTGGTCGGTTCTGGGTAATCCAGAATTGCCGCCACTTTGTTCCTAAGGGGTCGAATGCCTTGAGCACCTATAGTGTGTTCTAGGAAGTCTAACGAGTCAGCTCCGATTTGGCATTTCTGAACGCTTACAGTAATGCCGTGGTTTTGTAGTCGTTCGAAAACAAGATCCAGATGCTTGAGATGTAATTCTCTGTCCAGACGTGCGATTAGGCACTCGTCAACATACGCATGTACGAAGTTTAGGCCTCGGAAAACGTCGTCTATGAATCTTTGGAATGTTTGGGCAGCGTTTCTTAGACCGAAAGGCATTCGCAAAAATTCATGGAGTCCAAAAGAGAAATGATGGCGGTTTTCGGTATGTCGTCTGTGGCCATGGGAATTCGGTTATACGCCTTAACCAAGTCGATTTTCTAAAAGACAGTTGTACCTTTCAAGGTAGCTGTCAAACTGTGAATGTGAGGCACCGGGTAACGATGGGGAATGGTTTTTGCATTCAGTCGACGATAGTCATCAGTTGGACACCAATCGTTGCTGTCCTTTTGACGGACCATGTACAACGGAGATGCCCATGATCTGTTTGATGGTTTTTTGATACCTAAATCTGTCATGTGGTCAAATTCTTTTTTTGACCAACCTTAGCTTTTTGGGAGCCAGTAGGCGTGCTTTTGAGAATACAGGTAGTCCTGTAGTCGTGATGTGATGTGTAACGTTGCTGGTTACACACGGTAATTTCGGTTGCGGTTGGTATATCGCAGAATACTTATCGAGTAGTGGTTGATAGAATGGGTCTATCGTGTGCTTAATTGTGACTGGAGATAATCTGCTACCAGAAAAGGAAGTTACGCAAACAGATAAATTAGTATTTCCGTTTACCAGCTTCCGTTTGCGCGTATCGATGAGTAGATTGTGGTGTTGTAGGCGGTCTATACCAATGATTGGCATAGAAACATCTGCTACAACGAAGATCCAGTGAATGGGTTTGCGTAAACCCACGTTAAGGTAAATGTACCTTTTACCGTGTGTGGCGATACGCTTTCCGTTTGCCGCCTGTAAGTTTAAAACTCACTCGTGAAGCCGGTCGTTAGAATTCGTCGGAAGAACGCCAACTTATGATCCAGTATCGACAAAGTAGCGAACTATCGTTATCAAATCTGTGACGGATAACAGACGGCTATGTTCACCGGCTACGGTTGCCGTTAACGCGTGCCGGCTTGGAAGTTTCCCGAATTGTTTCCGTGTCGGTCCATTTTGAGTTGGGAAAATTGCAGAATTTTCTGCAATTTCTGGAGGAATTTCCATACTGGTCAGGATACCACCACCAGTCGGAGTTATCCGTATTCCGTGGTCTAAAGACAGATCGCGTACGTGAAAGCTTCTTCGTTAGGTGTGTGACCGTTTACGGTCGTTGTGAAATTTAAGATAACTAGCAAGTGTATGACATAACTATGTAGTATCACTCTGGGTCGTTTGGGGATTTTCTTTGACTAAAAAAATCTTGGCATTAGATTTCGTGATTTCTGAAATGCAGTCGGCAGATGCGGACAGCTCGTCAAAGGCGTTGTTTTGAAACGAGACCTGCACAGCTTACACCTGTTGAGGAAGTTTGTATAAGAAAAGTTGTTTGAATAGACCATCATCGAAGGTTCTTTGGCCGATAACCTCTCATTCTTTGCAACATGTCTGTCGCAGAACCGTGTTGCAGGCCGATGTTATTAAGGAATTGGTCTAACCTTTTTTCGTCAGTTAGGTCTCCGCGTTTAAAGATAGATCGTTTAAGTGTATCATATGGTTGCGAAACATCGACGTACCTGTTGAATTCATGCGGTAGTGCCTTGACTACTGCGAGAAATTGTGAACGTGTGTCGTTCACGCCGTGCTCGTAGAAGTCAGCTTCTGTGTGGCAGAACCAGTCTTCCATGTTGTCTGGCCAAAAGGAGATTAGTTGGAACGAAGGTGGGGACATAGTCTTTAGCTTAAGTTCCTTGTGAGCCTGTTCAGTCATGGTGAAATACCAAGTATTAGAGTGATCAAGGAGAAAAATATCCAAAATCTCGAAAAAATATCACAATATATAAAAAATTAGTATTAATATAATATCAATATTAATATTAATATAATATACAGAATTCCAAAAGGGAACAGGCTCACAGTTTACAATTTGGTGTACCAGATCACGTTAGGCTCACCAATGAAGATGCCACAGGTATTCGGAATTTGACAGCGCTTTAACCAGTAACATTTAATATGAATCGTACCCACCAAGTGAAATCAAAAGACAGAAGCGAGGAGTTTGGAATATATATTTGATAGGCTATCAATATTTCGAGGATCGTCTGATCTAATCTGGCTATCGACTGCAGGGGTTGTTGGGCACGGCGTTCCCACTCATGATTTGCTGCGGATGCATGACCGAGCGCCTTCAGCTAGGTGATTCCATTAAGACTAATGTGGTAAGCATCCAATGTTGAAAACCTACAGAGCTATATCTTTTGGGGATTTATTTACCGCTACAGAATAAACGTCACATAGTTTAGGCTTTTTATTCTTTTAGAAACGCGGTCAAACTTACTCATGTTGAGTTATTTTCAGGTGACGGTAAATCTTTTCATTTTGTTTACTACTACTTAACCGATATTTATTTGTCGCGCTTTGCATGGCGGGTTTCTGACACTTGCGTTACGTGGCGTATGATAACCTATTATTCATCATTTTATTTCTCCCGTAAACGTGGTCATACTTTTTGGTCATGATCAATCGAACTAATTTTAGCGTTAAAATTCAAAGCTGAGCGGAATTTTCATATATGAATGCTGTAGTAGGTTGAACTATCTGCTTGTTTTGATTCCCAGATTGTCGTAATTTGATGCTTGTGTTATTTTTTGATTGTCGTCTGTCGCTTTCCGTTGTACATCTGAATGAACTATAAGCTTACTGGGTTGTCGAGTCATATCTTCACTTTTAATGTCTTTGCGCTACCCCGGCTACTTATAAATACCTTTTGGCCTGATACGATCCGCTGCAATTTAATATATTTATCCAAATGGATGAGTGAATTTCGCGTCAAAGTTCGAGACCTGTCACTTTACACGTGATTGGTTCGTCCATAAATTATGGTCTCGCCGTGTCTGATGTATGATTAAGTAGGAAGAAAACCATGCGCAATCAAATCAAAACGTGACACCAGTCCAATTAACGATCGAATGAAGCCATTTTAACAGGTCCGCGTGAATATCGTAGCTAATGATCAGAGACTTTAAATGACATAGTATAGAACGTTTGCAATTGCACGGGTCCATCCATTCTTCGTCTTCTTAAGTTCCAAGTTTCTAAATTCCTCATAATCTTTTCACTAGACTGATTTGTGTGTGCTTGTACCGTTACGCTAGTCAAACCAAAATCTCATCAAATATATAAGCCTAAGTAATTGCACGCTTCCTGTTTGTGCTGTAAGTGGTAACCGTAGTACAAAGTTATTTAGACGGAAGTTGACCATATTTCCTCAGTAGTTAACTGTAGTCCAACTTATATAGAAACAGTTCATCATCATGTTATGAGAAATCCGCAGTTGGATAATATACCTGTTTTTTGCTTAACATAAGGGAGTCAAAGTACTAATCATATGTTGATACATTCCGTAAAGTGCTACGCTTTCACGTATTTTATTGTATATTTATGTCAATTGATCAGTTTGGTAACTTGGACCGATGAATATATGTGTCTGGTCCTACGTTGTAGCTGACTGACTAATTACTGGGTTTTACACCGCTTCTATCCGTACAAAGTACAAGCTTCTTGAACCATTTACTGTCACTCATAGTCAAATTCTAGATAATTTATATATGTACACAAAAAAACTTACGGCGCGTTTTAAATGTAGCATGTGATTGTCGTCTAATAGCATGATTATATCTTACGATATAGTGTTTATCGTCATGTAATAACTCTTTAAGTCATTCACATCTAATACAAAAATGATAAGTACTTCTCAGCGCGAAACTAACTCAGTTTATTTTGTCCATTACCATTAATTTATGTATTTGTAGGTAAACCAGTAAAGTAATACTGGTATGTATGAGCAAAGATTGTTTCGAAAAATCATGTTTAGCTGACTTTAGTGCTTGGATCATGCAAAGTTGGAAATGCTGTTCTTTTGTTGTAGGAGAATTATGTTGGTTTTGGTTTGAAACGTTTCAGTCCTAGCTACTACTCCATCCATAAATACATGTCTTCCGTCATATTACTTCTCTAATTGAAATATTTGTTTGTGGGCGAAAGTATTTATGTAACTAAGTCTATTGGGTTTCAACGTTTTAGGTAAAAAAAAGGATGGTTCATAATCCGACTGATGATATTGATTTAAAAGTGTCAACACTTGATCCAGATATACAAATTGGAGAAGTGTATAAAGTTTTACGATCTACTGGTCAATACTGTAACTTCTATAGTATTTTGAAACTTACTTCCTCTTGACATAGATCCTGCCGCTGTAATTGAAGGTCGTATAGATGGTAATGGGAATAAAGAATATTATGTTCATTATTGCAATCGTATGTTGTTTTACTTGTTTAATTGTTACATTTATCCAGACGACCGTAGATTAGATGAATGGGTTACATCTGAACGAATTGACTGTTCTGCAAAGCTTAAAATTCCATGCGAGTCGTCTCTTAACCAGTTAACAGATTCTGCTGGGTGTGATGTCCGATTCACCAGAAATCAGAAACGCAAGTTGGAAGAAACTTCCAAAGTTCTTCAAGTGAGTGGTAAATTATTAGTTTACATAACAGCGGAGTAAAGAATTGGGTTAACCATAGCGTAGAAGGAAAAAATGGCAAGTCAGTTAGTGAGGTTGTGAATCTTCATCGACTGAGGTGGTTCGAACTCGTGTTACGCATTCTCAACCGTCTACTACCCTAACAGTCGTTTTTAGCCGACCTAGTAGTAGGTTGGAAGAAAGCTAGGGACAGGTAAATCAAAACGTGGTATCAGTCTATGAAAATAATAGCTGTTGACCTGGATGGTGTTGGTAGATACTACCTTTATGGGGTCCGCAATCAGGAGTTAAGGTTCGATGATATACTGCAGGATCAGTCACAATGCCATAAGTGCATTTACTCTCTGCCCTGCTCTAGGTTTTTAGTTCCACTATCCCTTCACATATTCCTCCTCGTATCATGTGTTTGTCATTATAGTTGTTACATCATTTTTATCCATTTCTTATTCATGTTATTAGTTCATTCTTATCTTGCTGACGTAATGTATCAAATTCACCCAACGCATATTTGCGTTAGGCTGTCAGTTGATTATGATTGAGTGATCAAAGAAATGATCTGATTCTCACTCCACAGATGTTTTGCATGTTTGTTGTGTATGTGATTTCTTTCTTTTGCCATGTTATTTTCTTCATTTCATGTGTTTTTTTTGTCACATGCTTTTTGGTTTGGTTGTTATCATATATATTTTTTCTTATTCACAGGAAAGTGACTCTTTAGACTCTACTACGCAAAAATTGGAGCTTGAATATCAAGAAGTAAGGTTTTTTTGAAAAAGTTAATTCGCATAAATTTGATAATCGCGCTTCAATTTCTCCATTGAGTTTGTTTCTTTACAATGAGTTTATACCACAAAATACTGTTTTATTTTGCGGGAATAGGTATACTAAAAATGGTCCTAGTAGTAGATTTGTAACATTTGGGAAAATAACAGTGATAACATCCATTAAATCAATGTTGTTACGTTTTAGACTAATAGGGTTTATTCTAACTAGTTCTCTCTAGAATGAAATGGTAGGTTAGTCGTTAAGACGTTCAATTTCGAGCCACAAAGCTGCGGGTCCGAATCCCGCTCCAATTGTTTTGGCTTAATATCACTAACCCTCACAGTTAGGATGTGACTTGAAGTCCAGTACACTAACTTGCAACTGCCAAATGAATTATCCTTTCTCTATCTCATTATTTTTTCAGTTAACTTAGTCTAATACTTCCAGATGTAGAGCAGATAGAACTTACAAATGATCATGTAAAAGGCTGTATGTGATCGTCCGCAAGGTGATGTCATTTTGGAACTAATTCAACTGTTCTTTTAGGCACTTTAGACAAAATATCAGTTTTCACGATGTAAGCGACTGGTGACTATTATGTGTTTGAAAGTTTTCTTAGTCAAATTTTCCGATGTCTTCTTGACCTTTAGAAACAAATTACCATGGGTTCCTTACATTATCAACGAGTTTAATTATAAGTAGTCTACTCTGCATTTCTCTATGTATTTGACAAATAGCTGGTCGAGACGGCAAAATAGGTAGACTTTAAGTGTAGAGTAATCCCTTGAAATCTAGAATGACAACAGTCGCTGATCGTCCCAGTCTAATTAAAATGGTGAAAGTACTTTTGTGATGAACACAGAGTTGTGTTAGTTAATATAGGGCCTAAAATATTAGCTCGGAATATCGAACCTCAAAAGTTCTTGTCTATTTTCTGCCCTGGTACGGCCAAGAGTGGGGAGAGTCATCTCCCTCTCTAAATGCTCCCACGTGGCCACGTGCATACAACCGCTGCCAGGGAAGTTCTGCTCACCGCCTTCTGCCGACGGGAGAGTTGTTTACAAAATTGAGAGGACGAAAAGCGAATGTCCGGCGCTTTAACCGGGTCAGTGCTTATGGTGGATTCACCTAGGAGAGTAGGAAAACCCTGATTCTAAACCAATGGTGCACATGGGCTCCAGGATCCTATGGAAACAAGTGGCGTGTGAACCAATTGTTGGTCACCGGCTACCATGGGACTGCATCTCCCTCTTGCGGATTAGACCTTCGGGTCAAAGGCTCGGAGTGTGACCCCCTAAGTAGACCACCTGCTTCGGTTTGGTCACCCGGGCAGTATCCTAGTCCACACAAATCGAATGATTTATGTGGCGCATATCTGTTTGGTTCCTCCTTGTAACAATGTTTATGTGTTTAAGTGAATAAATAACATCAGATGGGTTTTGTGGATATTATAGTAATTCTAATGGTTAAGATCATGAGTCATTTGAAGCTAGATCACCATGGAAAACCTGGAAGCACTGGACGGCCGTTTCGTCCTATTGTGGGACAATGGCGGATGTGTCGCTCAATTTCGTGGATTAGTTGAAGTTATACATTAACACCGTTAGATGCCGGCTCAGTGGTCTAGTGGCTAAGTGCTCTTGCGCGAAACCAGTAGGTCCTGGGTTCGAGTCCCGCAGGGGGCAAGGTCGTGGATGCGCACTGCTGGGGAGTCCCACAATAGGACAGAACGGCCGTCCAGTGCTTCCAGATGGTCTACCTTCAACTGACTCATGATCTTAACCATTGGAATAAATAGAATAAGTCTTATGATCTGACCGTGAAAATGTACGTTTAGTATTCACACTTCGTTTGTTTTTGGAATAGAATCTTTCTTGCATATGTGATAATTGTAATTAGTTAACAGGCTTAAGTATACTTTTATTTCCCACTGAATACAAGATTTTACTTCAGAACTGGTCTTGATCAATACTTAGTTTGACTATACTGAGTGGAGTAGTCTATCATGTTGACTACACAACACATCTTAAAATCCTTATTCCTGTTGTGAGTTATTGAATCGCTAGATCTTGTCGCGGAAACTAAAAGCCCCCTGGACGTTTGTCCGTCTGTGACACAAGTGCTTCAGGTAAAATCTCTATCAACCGATAAGTGAGTAGACTTCATAGTAGTTCGCATTATATTGCGAAACAGCTGAAAAACCCAGCCGCCATGTAAATCAACTATCTCAGAGAAGTCTGTATAAGTGCGAATTATGTTAATATTGATTGAACCTGTCAGCTGATAGCTCAATTATACTGTTTTAGCTTATATCATGTCCGTGTAACATTTTTATTTCTCATTTCAATTATTTTGTGTTTAAACTTTACTTGTCAGTTTACTCGAGTGAAATTTATTGATCAGATACAATTTGGCAAGTACGAAATTGACACATGGTATTTTTCACCTTATCCCGAAGAATTTAGACAAGTGAAAAAGTTATGGATATGTGAATATTGTTTAAAATATATGAAGTATTCAGAAACATGGTTAAACCATATAAAATATGATTGTAAAGCAAAACGACCTCCTGGTAAAGAAATATACAATCATGGAAATCTATGCGTTTTTGAATTAGATGGCAATGTACAAAAGGTATACGTTATGTTTCGCTATTGTTGATGAAAGTGGTTTTATTGTTTTCGATTGCTTACGATTTATGCTACTGTACCTCAAGTTCCATTGGCCAAGGCAGTACCTGCCATTTGTAATTCGTACATAATTTACACTTAATCTCGGAGTTGTTGATTTGGTCGTTTCACTATACACAAAGATCGCTTCGAACCTATGTGAACTTGCACACCAACTTCCATCCAGGTTTTGAACCTATCTATCAGTCGTATTTGTTGAAAATTCGACAGTTGTTGTTAGCTTTAGACACGCTCCAGAACATGCCACATCGATTGTGTTTGTGGCAGTTCTTATATCTTTGTAGAGTAGAGTATCTCTTTCAAATATGTTAATATGATAGTTGGTTTTGTTGCTTCTATCAAGTAATTAATTAGTTTTAAAAACTTTAGTTAACCCAAGAATTGTAACCATCTAAGCATAAATATGTAGGCGGGATCTATGGCTGAGTGTGCTCAAAATATGTCGAACCTCGGTATTACTCTCTTGGTGATGAACAATGGATTCTATAAAAGTTATTATTAATAAGGTCGCGTGTTGAACCAGTGAATAAATTTTTCTATGTAAAGATAACTATATGAAAGTTGTGTTAAAACCTAATTTAGTCAACTAGTTTCTTAGTAATTTCATCATCCATCTTATCTCTATGTGATTGTGAGTTTTTTCGGATATAACTAGTCACGTTGGATCAACCAAACCATTAGTGTTGGTGCTGTGATCTGTAATACTACTTATCATTGATTTATAAATGATTACATTGACGATATCATATCAAGAATTGGATCCCTAAACTGGATAAAGTTCCATCTATGAAAAAATTGATGTAATTATCCTACCGTTAATTGAATCATGTTATCAACGTGGTGTCTCATATTAAGACATTTTATATAAAAATAAAAAACCATTTAGACAAATTTAAAGGTAAGTGGAAACAAAGGTAGTAATAAAGTACACAAAAAACAATGTGAGAATCACACTGGATAATAAATCAATATTACCAGGGTAGGTTCGGGGTTAGAATAAATTGTTTTTGAACACTTAAAGGGGCTTCAGTTTCCGTATAGACAAGGTGTCAATAAACCTTAGTATACGCCCTTGAAGGCTTTTGTACAAAACTGCAACTACAGATTTGCCGTCCATTGTCATTCTGATCAACACCACCAGGGCCTTCAACTTGAAGTAGCGATTGATGATATTGTCCAAAATGACAATGAGCTCTCTCAATAATTAAATCATCCAGTTCAGAGACCTCAGCAACAACAAAAGCGCAAACATGTATGCTAAGTTCACTTTCATTGTCTTTGTTTTCTGATTTCTCGTGCTTTTTTGTAATATGCTGTACTACTTATTAATTTTTAGTAACACGTTTCATCTTTAGCAACTTTTGAACACGTAGTTTGACGTATATTTGTAATCATATCATTTTCTTAACTATACGTATAAGCTGATTATATTCAACTTATTTATTATTATAATCACACCTTCTTGATACCTGGAATAAATATTTTCAATTCCAGTGTATCTGCTGAATGTTTATTTTATTATAACAGTCTTCATGTTTTGATGTTCTTCAATTTTCTTTTGACATTATCTCCCATTATATTTTTGACACAGCTATTAGCTGTCACATATATAATCGTATGTTGTTATACATAACTATATATCCATTTTAGGAGGCGCTGTTTTCTGATTGTACATGAACTCGGCAAACCCCGTAGATGCCTAACAAGTTTAGTTTTGTATTATATTTCATGTTATTTCACAATGGTAGTATCGTCTTTATAGATAAGTCTTGTGTTCACTGTTCAAAAAAGAAATGACGTTATCCTTTTTCGCTTTTATCTTTTTTTCTTTACAGCTTTACTGTCAAAATCTATGTCTGTTGGCCAAATTGTTTCTAGATCATAAAACACTTTATTATAATGTCTCACCATTTATATTCTATGTTCTATGTGAGATAGACAATGATGGAGTACATCTTGTTGGTTATTTTTCCAAGGTAATTTGTGTTCATCTTGTCGTTCTTATTTCTCATTATGTAAGAAATCAAATTCTTACTCACCGGTTGGCGTTTTAAATATAAAACATATTAATGATGAAGTACGCCGACTTGGTGGATTGAGGTACGGGTTAGTACTTTGCTCAACTGGTTTCAGTCTCAACAGTCAAATATAGCATCATTGATCTTCAAAACTGAATTGTGGCTCGAATTTTAAGTAGCTGGGTTTGTACTTGTTCTAAGCGACTTTCATTAGTAAGAAGACATGTTAACAATCCTGAAAATGATTAAAAACAATGAGAAAAGTAAGGAATAGTAGTTCAATTAACGGGATCTGTAGTACTGTCAAAGGAGTGTGACCGGCTGTCCCTAACCGAATGCCTACGCCGTACAACGATTATTCTTAAGTCTGAAACGGAAACTGGACAAGCGGTGATTTCGACGACCTGGGACTATAATCATATTTCACACACTGCCTGTATTCATGTAATCCATAGAGGAGGATGTGGTACGCTATTTTTAGGGTTGACCATTCCTACTCCTCTTCTTCCTCTTTGGGAAGGCAGCATTACTGCAGATACTGGTTGTCTGATGGAAATACCTTGCTAGCACCGCATCCTTGTACAATCAGCACTACCGTTTCACCGTTGGACCGTAAGTTTCGTTTCTTTTGGTCTTATCGCCCTCCAGTCAACCATCTCGGGATGGTAGGATATGAAGAAAAATTGCTATAATCAATATAACTCCATGAAGTTATCACGGTGGGCAACCTCGACTACCACATCAAGGTAACAGTTATGGTTTGGTGTTCAAAGTGAGGTATTAACAATCTGATAACAGTGAGTAGTGATCGCATCATATCACCAGAATAAATCTGAACATGTTTATAAATGAGTCTTTACTTAATCGTCTGAATGTGTTTTGTGATCACAATATTTGAAGACTATTTGTATTTTATGCTGTTCAAGATTTGTAAATGCCAGGAACTACTGCAATAGATTTGTCCTATACTTCTCCATTATTTTATGTATCAGTTTTCGGTGACACAAGTATCTTCAGAAGTATAAAATGAAACATGAAAATGGAGTTTTTCTTAAAAAGTGGAGAAGTAGATTGTAAAAAATTAAGATTAAAATAATGTATTATACATTGATCAATAGAAAGACAAAGATTGCAGCTGGATCAGTTAATTGTGTATTAATTCAGAAAAATCGTCAATCTAAGAACTGCAACCATATTTTTGCTATCTTATGGACTTTTTTTGTAGAAAAAATATATTGACTCTTTTGATGGTCATTCTGAAGGCCTTTGTAGGTTAGCTATACACACTATATTCTATGATTGCTTTTGCATTGACATACTATTCAACTTCGGCTCCAAGGGTAACCTTTAAGTATAATTCCACACGTGATTCACTTAGTTCAGTTTGCTTGTATTGTTTAACTGCACTTAATTTTCGATGTAGAATTTATATTTGAAATGATCCTATCAACTGAAATTCCATTGTTTCACCCAAGAAACTGATCTGAACTTTTTCAAAAAAATGATCAAAATTATCAAACAAAAATCACAACTAGCGCAATCACTGTGCTATTAGTCTACATTGTTTACACTAACATGTTTTTTCCCCAGATTTTCAACGGTCAATTTATTTAATAATTCCGTTTCGTCAGTCAAAATAGCTGTCACAGCTTTAAGAACATTACTGAGATAACGTATGCATAGAGCCCTTATGAATTTCGTGTTAATACTGTTCGCAAAATAAACATTTAAACATAACAGGCTTAATGTTTAGTGTAGACTTGCTTTTAATCTTATTCTCTGGTAGTTCTGATTTTGATTATTTCACTGAAGTTCAAGTCAGTTGCTCAGGTGAAACTTTACAATTATTTAAATTTCAATTGCTTAGATTAGCTCAAATATAATTTCTTCATCTGATGTGTGCTACATACTTAGCAGCCGATTTCTATCACACTATTTGTTTAATTTATGATGAATGTACATTTTAATTTTAATTGTTTATTTGTTTTGTGATTTCATTAAAATTAAGTAATGAAATTCAAGTATTTGAAAGTCATCAATGTTGTCTATTTTAGTAGTTATGTTTGGCACGGTGACCCAGTAGTTAATGTGTTCAATGTTTATCCATTAAGATGCATACTTGAAGGACCCTCTACTTATTTCTATTTGATCATTTGGGTACGATCACTGTCCCTCACACTTGAAATGCAACTTAAAACCAAGTTCATGAGTCTGTATCTGGCAAATGAGTTGATAATATAATATTTATATGTCATGTCTTAAGAGCATTCTATGGGACACAAAAAAAATCAGCTATGTTACATATCAATCAACGAATTTCTGCTCTGTATGTTGAAATATTAAGCAAATCCTACCTCGTCTTTCCTTTCTAAAATATTTTCTTTTTCCATTTTTTTTTCAGGAAAAAGTATCTGCTGATAATTATAATCTTGCATGTATCTTAACTTTACCACCATTTCAACGTCGTGGATATGGTCATTTCTTAATTAGTCTCAGTGAGTTTCTCTCATATTTATACATTGTGATTGTTATGCTTCTTTTTTAGCATAATTAAATGACTTCGTTTATGAAAACATTCGGTGTGTGTAATTTTGAATGAATTATGTCTAGATGCAGCCTAAATTCACTAATTTTGCTTTGTTAGCTTAAATAATATTTTTCGTTCTTCAGCTTTTCTTGTCGTTTTTCTGTCTATGTACCGGCGTAACTTGTGACCATTTAGACCGATAGATATTTGTACTAGTTTGTACCTTGTCTATTTATTTGGCTGTTTGTATCCATGCATCTCTCTCTGTATATATATCCTTGATACAAATATATTTTTTATAGTGATACTTTTAGATAGGAAATACTTATGATAATAAGTGGGTAATGAGTAATTGAAACTATATTTATCATCCTTCCATTGTTTAAAGTCGTCTGATTCGATAATATGCAGACCTTGTTAACAATTTATAATTGGTTTCTGCAAAATATTTTTTTGTCAGAACTATACAATATTGAAATTTTCAACCCACAATATTCACATTCAGTTACATTCAATTACATCAGTGTTTTGCTTTTTGAAGGAGGCTGGATAGCTTCTTATAAAATTCATCTCTTACTTCATCCGAATCTGTGTGATCGTAGGCAGTGACAATGAAAAGACAACGGCACGTGTCCCTATCTTTTTGAGTGCTTACTGTCCAGTTTAGTTGGACAACACAAAAGCGACTGTCTTTTAGCATACATTCTAGGAAAGCCTGTTGTGCTTCCAAACTTAATGCCGTACATATACTGACGAGGTCACAAGAATGAACAGTGAGGACTCCAGATACATAGATGTAAATCGTGCCAGTTCTTTAGATTGTCAAGGTGGGGTCAAGTAAATGACAATACTTGGATCCTGTATGTGTGTTTCGGAGACAAAGCACATTGATGGTGCGAGAATTTAGCTTCTTAGCTTAAGAAGCCTGTTGTCCTATGTGATACAAGGTTTGACCATTCAATGCAGTTTAGAGTGTGGTTTCCGGATACCAAAAATAATATTTCGTGAACTCAAATCATTAGCATTGGTGACACGTGAGGATAAAGATATACGAGCAGAATTGGTTGTAGGAATTCGGTCATGAACATTATGTTCTCGGGTGCTCCTAGATGTATGAGGGCGTTTTTCACTTTGCTGCAGATGCTGATTATCCGAGAAAAACACCTTACTGTTGTCACACCGCTCTACAGTATACAATATGACTTCACTCTCAAATTTTAAGTTGCTGCTTTTACTACCATCCTTCTCCAACAGACCTGTCTGGCATGGTAGGACCTAAAGAAGCATGTGTTCCAGCCAATATAGCTCAGGTAAGTCATCACGTTCAGCAAGCCTGATCACTACGTTAAGGTAGCGGTTAAGTTGTACACAATTTCATTCACTTAATTTAATCACATCTATTTGTTTTGCTATTGTTTTTGTTATTTTCTTTGTTCAGGTTATGAATTAGCTAAAATTGAACAAATTGTTGGTACACCAGAGAAACCTCTCTCCGATTTAGGTCGTTTAAGTTATCGTAGTTATTGGGAAAAGGTGATATTGAATTTTCTATTAGAAAATCCTAATTGTACAATGAATGAATTAAGGTAAGCTTACAAATGTTTAAGAGTAGTTGTATTTTGCCTAAATAAATAGATAGTACTTTTTTGTCCATTACATTCACTTGTTTTTCAGTTTTTTAATTGATACTATACATTCACTTGATCCAAATAAGAAGCAAACAAGGAAGTAATATTCCGAACAACCAAAACCACAGGACATTCAGTAATAAAAAGATGGGTTTTGCATAGTATTCACAGAAGAATCTTCAATATTCTTGATTTACCCTGTCCACCAGCACTGATGAAAATGAACCAACCAAAATATCCAGATCTGAGCATGTAATTGTGGAGTTTCTGTTCTCTCTTGTTTCACTAACCTTACTATGTGTTTTGATAGAGTTAGTTAATGGGAAACCATGGATCTAAGTTTTGTGCCAGTTGGCACTTGTCAGCTTGAATTACGTGGAATCTTGAGAGAAATAGTGCTCCTTATGGGATTCAAACTTGTGTCATTATACCTACAAACTAAATAGCTTTTCTCTGTTCACGTGTTATGAGGTAAAAATAAATATTAACTAATTAAACTCTTCAGATTTTTCGCACAACACGAACCTGTTTCATTTGATAAACACTTAAGAGAATATAAGGAAGCACTTAGGAGATGTTCCCTGCTGGTCTCATACTCTTCAGCATTGGTATTCGATTAGAGATCTTCCCTAGGTTTGGCGGCGGAGAGATAATCTTTAGATCATCGCGTCACAATCTAATGATTCCAGCTTCCAAGTATAGTTAGTTAGATTTCTACACACCTTTTTGTAGGCTACGTTCCGGAGTGTGCACACCCAAATTTTCCACCAGCGATCGTCCTCATACTAAGACGAGACAGCTGTTTGATGAATAACACCTAGTTTCTATTGATAATCACCTTCTGATCCAATCCCACTAAACCTATTTTGGTTTAGTTAAACGGTTAGTATCATTAGCTCTCACACTTAGATTGTGGTTCTTATACAAGTCTCTGACGAGTGAATTTGTTTTATATTATTGCGAATCATTCTCATAAAACAGCTAGCCAATACTCTTTAGCTTTCAATGAATTGTTACCTTAAATGAAACCAGTCTATGTTAAAATACAATCCATTAGTTACAAACTTTCTTTATGTAAACATTTTCTATCAGTCCTTATTTCATATGTTCATTTTACATTTTAGTACAAAAACATGTATTGCCATTGATGATATTATTTGGACATTACAATATCATCCAATTATTAATAATTGGCAACATGGTCATCAAATATGCCTGCATCGTGATACTATACAACAATATTTGAATCAATTAAATGATGAACATTCTATGAAAGCCTTTCGTACAGATGGTAAAGAACAACGGAAAAATCGTAAATTGATGCATAAAAACTCTTTTGTATTGGATATCAATCGATTGAAATGGGATCCACCAATTAAATCATCACAGAATAACAAAGAAAGTCAAATGTAATTAGTGCTGTTACTTATTTTTTTTTGTGTGTATGTACAAATTCAGTGACTACTGTTATTATCATCGTCAGTAGTAATGAGATTCTCTTTAAAGTTTTATTTTGTTTTTATAATCAACTATATTTTTTTGATTTATTTAATTGTGCTATTATTAATTAGTGCATGAAGTTGATCTCTTTCAACATTTCGATGTAAATACAAGTTGTTTTTTTTAAAGAAATTGAAATTAAATGTGCATTTATCGTCCATCTAAAAATTTTGCTTTGATGTTTATTAGTTCTATGTAAGAGTTTTCAAGATGCATTGAATGTGTGGACAGTTGTGTAATTGTTGAAATTATTTGCTTACGAAATGTATTGAGGTAAAATACATTTTAAAAAATAGAATGCTTGTACAATGTGGGAGACTGGGAGAGTCATCCAAATTGCTGCAGAAATGAAGAGATACAACCTGGAGGTATTTGAAATCAGTGAAACACATTAGACGCAGGTTGGACAACAACGACTAGCTTCAGGGGAACTTCTATAATCATTTCGATATCTGCTAAAAGTGGAACACAGAATTCGTGTTTTATCGTCATAACGTTGAACTTGAGCCAAGTTTGTATTGCTTTAAACGCCAGAATACTATCCACTAACCAGTCTTGTAATCTATCAGTGTCTATTCAGCATATAACCGACATGTAGTTTTAGGCTGTATCAGATGATGAATTTTTGGATTCCACATGATATTGGGTTCTGTAGTGCTATCCACTGAAACCAATGTAACTTTGTATATGTGTTTGTGAGCGAATATGGTGGCACTTATAACTATTTCTTTGAAAGCACATGAATTTGCAAATCTCCTAGCATTGTCGTTCTTTTCTCTCAGCCCATGTCTTCCCACAATATCATCATACTCGATGTTGTACATTAAGACTTTAGCGTTTCAGTTTTCCCTCAATATGGTCAGGTCTTTTCCTGAGCTCGTCTTTACGATCAACTGTAGCCTCATGAAACTGATCTTTACCGTCTTCGTTGCTACCATTGGTAGGCCCACAACACTGGATAGCATTCACTGAAGTCCCCTTTTTTTCGAAGAATCCTTTGATGATTCTACATCCATGAGACTCCCATCCTATACGTGCTTTTCGTGCTTCTTTGGACACCATCAATGTAACAACTTGTGAATTCGAAGCATTTTCTTCTTCATGGCCAGGGTTCGATAGCACCTCTTTCGAGGCTATTATTTTCTGTCCAGCTTGGATCCAATGGGTTTCACTTATTCTGAACACCACCAGGTTATATTTCCTCACTTACATAGCTCACCCAGTCTCTCACATTGTCTGGATATATCATGTATCTATGTTAATTGTTGATCTAATTGTTGGAAGGGATATCAGTCTCTCAATTTCCGAATAAAGTGCTGACCCATACCCAAATCTCCTCCTTTGTGAGCATTATACAGTCATGGACATCGTGCTTGTAAACGAAATACTAGAGTGGGACGAGAATGTTCCATACCTCAGCTACAATAGAGCGGAAAACGCTACCACAATGAAGCATCTTTACCACGCCTCATGGTCACGAGAATGGTATAGGCTAATAGTTGTTGACAACTGGAAGGTAGTGAGAGGAATCATTCAGAATGCTATTCAACACAATGTATCTAAAGGTTAGCATGTGACAGCTTTTAGTGGCCCATGGATCTGACTCCAAGAATATCGTAATGATGATTGTTGTTGAAATATATATGTCTCCTATTCTCGTTTATAATCATCGACTTAAATCGCGTCAGTCAATAGAGGAATTAAATAAGTCAAATAACGAGAATGGACTTGTGAATACATATTACTTACTTACTTACGCCTGTTACTCCCAATGGAGCATAGGCCGCTGACTAGCATTCTCCAACCCACTGTATCCTGGGCCTTGTGAATACATATATTTTGTATATAAAGCGAATGGAATAGAGAGAGGAGAAACGACGCACAGTGGAGATGGCTGGTAAGCCAATTCCCATTAAACCAAGCGTTAATCAATATTTTTAGTTACACAAAAGTAAGTTACAGACATGTGATGAGTAATGGGATAAGAAATGTACACACCTACGCGCTCATATAATAACACTCAAGATTGATGAGCGAATAATTAACAAGGTCACAATGTGACTCAAGTAGAATGAATAGAATGGGCTAGAATAACGTGTATGGGCTTAATATAATAACCGACACTACAAGCTAGAAACATCATAAATTTACGTAAATTCACTGAGTTATACAACTTTTAAAACAAAGACTAGTACCTTCATGCCAAAACATACACGAAAATCAAACGTTAGTTTCAATACTTCTTTTAATGACGTAGAAAAACATTCATCATAGAAACAAAACAAAGTCTGGATTCAAATTCTATTTATTGAAACATTTACGATTCCTCTATCATGATCCACGGTTCACTAGCATCTGTATGAATTGCATCAATGCTTATTGAATAACTCACGTAGTATGCATCCTTGAAACTCCCAATATGACAGATTTTCGCTGAGAAACAATGTTTCAAAAGAGCTTCTTCGATTTGTACAGTTTTGGAAAATAAACTACATTGCAAACACAGAGCTGAAAGAATATTTCGATTTAGTATGTAACACATCCACAATGCTCACTGACGACACCACCAAAGTTCGTTCTTAATAAGTTCAGGTTTCATATTCAATAGGTCATTTTACCAACAAATATCAGAGTATTCAGTGGTCCATGTTCCCAGATTAATAATCTGTTAAACACAACAACATTTAAAATATTGGCACTGCAAAACAGCGTGAAACAAAAAAATCTACATAACAGTATATACCATTATAATTCAATGTTGTCGTGTATTTTCGATTTCAAATGAGTTCAAATCATTTATCTTTCGTTTAAAATGAACAAGTTCACAAAATTAAAGATCAAAAGAAATTGACTGAAATGTATCTCTGCATCTCTCAACAATAAAATACTTCTTCGTTCTCCAAAATAGTGAAATCTCCGGATCCTCTTGTGGTGTGTGCTACTTATATTCATATAAGTAGTATATTTCGCGAGTTAAAACTTAATATCTAGCAGCAGAAGATGAGGTGAAGAACAAGAAAGGAAGAGCGAGAGCACAATGGAATTTGTAAGAAAACGCATGTACAATGGAATGGGAGACAATGGATTAGTGTTTGCAACGGAAACAGTCCAGTTGGGTATGGTGCATTGATATTTTGCAAATTGACGTTGACTTTATGGTATTCAGATTTTATTGAGATAGTCTGTAATTTTTGTGATAAATACATTCGATTGTTTCCACTCGAATTCTGCTCACCGCACTCTTACATTTTCATCAAACGTGACCGCAATCAGAAACTTGAGATTATTCAAACTCGATTGTAATGAAAACTGACAAGCATACTGAAATATGCACACCACTTAATTGTCAGTCTCAAAATTCACAACTGACAATGATTTATGTGTGGTAAGAAACCATCGAATTTGTACAAGTGAATTCTACTCTCCAATAATCATTTCCAAACATTAATATATTACTCAAAAATGTTGTTCCATTTCACTTATCACTCTCCACAATACAACACACTTCATCATTATATGGTAGTTGATCCAGATCGATATTCTGATCACTTGAGGTCGGTACAGCAAACATCAATAATGTGACTTGTCATATTTCAATATTATCTTGATGTGCTGATGCCGTGTAATTCATATCAATTCCAATTGCATATTCTAATATCAGAGACACTACCTAGATCATCCAGTGTTTGCTAACTTATGCATTTTGTCGAAATACATATATTCTCTCGTTAACTCCCATCTCCTCTCTACTCACAACCCTGAAATACTAATCCATGAAATGTTCTTGTAACTGGTGTCCACCTAACTAATTACACAAAATAAACATTCACACTCAGAGAATCTCCCTTCGAAATTACATAATTAACACTGATGTAAAAAAGAACACGTAACACAGTATGTTTGGTGATATAAAAACAAAACGCACATACACACACACACACACAGAATTTTGTACAATTTTCAACGCATAACTACTTCGCAACTATTAGAAATTAATAAATTAAACCAATAAAAAAATGGGCTACGTATCTCTGACATTTACAATTAAATACACACTATAAACAAACAAACAAACAAACGTTGTATTTTATTTTAAACAAATTCACATGGGATATGATGAATTCATATTGAATTATTGAAACGGTATACACAAATATAATAAATATGAGAATGAATAAATTTTATTGACTAATAAATATTGAAATAAAAGAATAATTAATTAGTCTATAGATCATGACGACGAGAAAGTAAATAGAAAGTAATTCGGGAACTCTCACACGCACACACACACACATAGACACACGACTAACTGGGAAATATTCAACAACAGAATGCATTCATGATACGTTCAAGATATGTATATGTATAAATGGAGTCCTTTCAATAGTTTGTCTATTTTCTCTTGTTGCTTACATTGTGAATTATTGGTCTTTCAATATTAATTAATGACTATTATTTGAGTGTTGAATTTTGTTTTGTTTTTTTGGTCTGAAAATGAAAAAAAAATTACAATTTTGGTCATTGTGACAGTTGCTCGGTGCGTATGTGTGTTTAGATGATATAACAGTTATAATGGAGTTGAGAACAGTTTGTACTACAGTTGAATAGACTGTTGTGCGTGAAACAAGATAAATGAAATACTCCGAAATATTATTGTGTCCAGAATGATGTTGATAGAATAGAATAGTGCTGTGACAATATATCTCATTAATTGTAATTATTAATGATCGTCGATTAAGTCAAAGTGTTTGTTTATCTTATGCGAAGAGTGTTGTGGTAATGCACCACTATATCAGTCTGTTGATATTACTATGTACACTAAGATACCACTAAGTCGAATCCCTTTAACTAGTGATTATTCACTGGTTTGCCGATTGATAAGAGGGATATTTTGTTTAAAAAGATATTGATTGTTATTTAACTGTTAAAATGTCCTTCTTGTTAATTGATAGGGACATTCAGTATGTTTCATGTGTCTAACAAAAATACGTTGATATTATTTGTTGACCTTTAAAAACAATCGACAAGAAGTCTTAAAACATTGAATGTACTATTAGTTAACTATTATCAACATAGTTTATCTGAGCAAAATATACTGTAACGCAGTTATTTGAGTTATTGATTCACGAATTGAATAGACAAACTTTGAGTTTTATGGGTGAG